TTACTGCTTCCTTCCTAAATTAATTGTTATTATAGTTGAAGAAAAATTATCACAAACTAAAATGTCACTTTCGAAATTTAAGAATGGAGTTTAGCAATTATTTTAATTATACATACTTAAAGAGGAAAAAATAAATCTATTTCTATTAATAATATATATAGTAACTAATTAGTAAATTATATTTTTATTTATTATTTTCTTAAGGGATATTTAAAAAGCTAAAGAAACAGTTAAAGTGGGTCGGATGGAGTATCTTTTATCATATTTATATGGTTTAGTACATGACCAATCTCTGAGAAGTTTATCATGATTTTTCATTTAGATGCTTGAATTATGTCGCATTTCAATTAAACACCTTAATTCATAATAAAATGTGTCCAATTAAACACTTCCGATTAATTTTTTTGAATTTGTTTGTGTATTCTATCTATAAGGTATATAGTTAAGTTAAACACATATTTCATTTTCTTTAATTATATTTACGCATTCACCTCAATAAACTATAAAACTCCAGACGTTTTTACTAGAGATTGATGCGTATAATTAGAGGAGCTGACATATTTTATGTGGTTAACTTAACTATTTAATAGACGAATAAAAAAGTACAATTTTTTCAAAAAAAATTGAATTAAACTATCTAATTAGAACAATTTATAAGAAGTGTAGGTATTTAATTGGACTTGTACCTCTTTCACCTATTTAATATATTATTTATGATCATAGAAGGAAAGGAAAAATAAGAAGTGAATAAAAAAAACATGACCCAAAGTTTATTCTTTCCCTTTGAGATTAAGGGAAAAAAATCAACTAATTTTATATTATATTCTCTATTAATTTATGCATATAATTTCTTAGTTGAGGAGAACCACTTTCTTGCAATTGCATGGAAGATTCCCTTTCCTTTAAGAATGAGTCATCATGATGTCTGTAATCAAAGCTATTAATTAAATTATATAAAAGGGATTAGGGATTCAGTTATATGAATTTTGTATTAATAAATATATTTATATAATTATATGATAAGTTGGTGATGGTAATATTAATGGCTAGTGATGATTGGTGTGTATCAATGTTGTGTTGGATGATGATGGTGGTTATACGAAGTAATTAGTGGTGATAGTGATTAAAAATAATGATTGTCAATCGTGATTGTTGATGGTGATGACTAATAATTGTGGTGGACGATGGTAATATAGTTAATTTTGATGGTGAATGATGATGATAGTTGACGATATATAGTAAAAATTGATGTTAAGTAGTGATTGCAAGTAGTAATTGGGGGTTGTAATGATAGTTGGTGCATGGTGATGATTATTAATGATGACTAATGATGATGACGACCAACTATGATGATTGGCGGCAATAATTGTGGCTGAAAATGATAGTTGCGGATGGTAGATAAAAGTGGGAGATGACAATGTGAGAAAGAAAAGAGGACGGATTGTAGTGGCGAACAATTATTTTTGTAAAAAAATAATAATAACCATCTTAATAATTTTAACAATTTGCTACAAATTTTTATCATTCATTTTGATCTATTGAGTTCATAAAATTTAAAAATTATAAAACATTTAAGATTAAAATTCAAAACTAAAAATAAATAGATTTAATGATTGAAATTTTGATAATTAATATTAAGATATTTCATTAGGTCCAAATAAATGAAGCGTATTAAGTTCATCTGTACTTTAGACTTCTTTAGAAAATTAAATAACGATACATAATCTTTCAATTATAATTAGTTTATATGTAAACTCAAATTAAAGTACTCCCTCCGTCTTATTTTGTTGAGTACTTTTTATTGATTTATTTTTTAGAAAAGAATGAAAAAAAATTATATTTAAAAATAATATTTTTTAAAATTTTTATTTTATCTTAATTAGAAGTTTTTATAAATATTATGATATATTTTAAAGTAATTTTTTTTTATAATTTTACGGTCACACAGATAATGTGAGTTATGATATATTTACGATCATAAATTTTAAAGATATTCAATTCTTTTCTATATTTTATGTTGATTTATGATATATTTCATTTGAATGGAATGTTTATCGAATTTTTTTTCTTTACCTTTACAAGGTGAAGATAAAAATAAGATTATTTATATATACCACACCCTTTTTAGATGTCACCAATAAAGTTAAATTATTTTTACGTCAAACTAATATCAAACAAATTAAAATGAAAAAAAGTATCAAGTTTGAGACATAACGACAATAGAGGTGGTTATAATCATTCGATTTGACAGCTACTATGGAATCCTCTTAACATTATGTTGTCTAATTAAATAAAAATACTCATAATAGAAAATTTGGAACAAAATGAGTAAGAAAATTGTTAGAATTATTAGCAGGAGAACCCACTCAACAGTTAGGTTGAACTATTGGTACTAGCTTTTCGAGAAATTTTCAAATGAACAATTTCAACGAAATTTTTCAATTTCTTATTTTATTATGTTTAACTTATGTGTTTCTCTATCCGTAGAATTATATATTGAATAATGTATAGAAATAGTTATAACTGAGTTTCTCTTATTCATACTAACAACTACTCTAGGGGAGGGTTTCTAGCAAGCCCCCTTTTCTACCTTTTCCTTTAAGTGACAAAGGGGGTGAGGTCATCGATAAGTCTTTCCTTATTCATTCTATAGAACGGGGTTGTGGACCAACAATCCAACAAAAAAGAATGTTTATTTCTTAATCGGATGTCTCAAATTTGAATTGTAAATATGAAAAAATCATTGATAGAAAAAGTTTCTCCTCAAATGAGATCATGCATAACCCAAAACAAAATTGATCGGACTTTAATGCAGATATCAAACATTGAATTGAAAAAAAAAAAAATTAGGTTGAAACAAAGCAAAAGTCAATATAGACAGACACAAGTGCTTTGTGAATCTACCGTTGAAAATTAGTAAATAAAGATAGTACAATTTGTTAAGATGATGATATGACAAAGAAAATAAATAATTAAAGGGCAGACAAATCTAATGGAATCTCATCAAACACTTGAGCCAGTTGGGGAAATTTTAACTAAAAATAAATTAAGTACAACATGAAGACAATTCTTTAGTTAGAAAAATATTTCCATTTTTTATTATTACTATTATTTTTTCATTTTTCTGAACTGCAAGTGTATTTTTGGCATCACCTGTCAACATTTTTTATTTCTATTTGGGAATCTTGCCAAATTGGAAATCAGGTGATAATAATACTTGGAAGGAGTACAGGTTGTATAAAGCATAAACTTTGAGCATATATATAATCATTTGTCTACATATTTATTTATTGTTATAAAAAAAAAACTAAAATATAAATTAAAAATTGATTTCAAAGAAAATTTAATGATGAAATATTCCATTAGTTTCAATTTATGTAATACTTTTCTTTTTCTGAAATTCAAACAGTTTAAGTTTGATCGAAAATTTTTGCATGAAATCTTCAAATGTTTTGAAATGAAATTTATATATTTGTAATCTATGTAAAAAGTACTCTTAAGTCATAATTTCAAAAAAAAAAAAAAATTCCAAGTCATATTACCTCCGTCCACTTTTCATAGTTTCCTTTTTTAGAGTCAAACTATATAAACTTTGACTAACATTTTATGATGTATTTTTACATTATATTGATATGCAAAAAATTGCAATTTATAATACTTTTTGTATAGATTTTGATTATCTAAATTTTTTGTTTAAAATGTCAAATTAATGTAATCTAATTTAACTTTGAAAATTAGTCAAATTGACTTTTGAAAAGCGCAACATGACAAATACAAGTAGACAGAGAGAGTAATAATTAACAATTCAAAATATTTCACATTTAGAAAATTTTATTTGTCACCTAATATTATCGAAATTGACAATTTTCAAGTTTCAATTAATAATTTTACTTAAATCATAATAAAACTCATAATTTTTTTAATTGAAAGTGATTTTAATTGTCTAATCAGAAAAATAATTAGTAGTATTGTATAACAGTATAAGATAAGAAAATTGATGTGTGTTGATTGCAAATAAAGTTGGGAACTTTAGAATTGTATTGGACTTATAAACATTATCAAAAAGTCAGGATAAGAATATGACACTTATTTTATCTCATTCATTCTTCAATCTTTATCAAAAGTAAAAAAAATCTTTGCTAGAGCTTTTACTCAAATGTAGCTTTATGCAGAACAAACTTAAATTATATATATATATATAAAAACTTTATCAGAGATTCGAGAACATAACTCTTTTTGCTATAGTAAAAATAGTTTTTAGTGATAATAAATATACACATTAATAAAAATTACTAAATCATTTATCAACATTAGTTAGAAACATTTAAAAGAATATCAATTGCCGCTACAAATACATATTTAATGACAATTAAATTATTATCATTAATTAATTATCACTAAAAATAATATTTGATGCATGATTTAGATCTCACACTTTCTTGTCGTTTTTCTTTCTTATTATTTTCTAGCTAACATTTTAATATTAACGATTAATTACCACAACAATTTGATTGGGAAACCTCAGATTCTTTAAGGGGTCACTTCAAACATAGAATCCAACCAAAAATAAAGGGAAATACAAAACAAATCCCAACAGAAAAATCATATTCAACCAAAAAAATAACACCAAAATTTCTGAAATTCCATAGTCAAAATATGAAAATTACATTATTAGTTACTCTAAACTTTTTTTTTTCCATCACTTCATCCTCTTAATAACAATGATACTAAGGAGTAATACAATACAATAATAATCATCAGCTCTGTCTGACTCTGTCACCACCACCACCAGAACAAATAAATACATTTAGTTGTCTGGGGAAAATACCACTAATTAATTAACAACCTTAAAAAAAAAATTAAAAATTACCCACATCTCATTGGAACCCAGCAAACCTTCAGAAAATTTAAATTCTGAGTTCTAGGATGGTTTTAAAATTTCAAAAAATAAAAAACCTAACCCTAAATCTTCCTCCTTCAAGAAACTGAACCGGACCGGTTTAAACCCTAGCATTGTGCAAAAGAGGAGCAAATCCTTGTGAAGCAGCTTCTTTACAAGAGTGATCTAAACCATCAAACCCAACTTCATTAATCATTTCATCTAAACCCAAAAAATGACCGAACCGGTCTTCATCCCGGTCCAATAACCTTAATATCTCCGAAAAGTACTCAACTTCACAAGGCAAAACTAAACCGCCGGTTCTTTGATAGCCAAACTCCTCCTCTGCTTTATCAAGTAGAGATATAAACACAGGGAGGTTCAAGAACCGGGTCGGAATAACGAACCGGGTTCTTTCTGGACCGATGTAAACCGCTAAAGATCCTGAAGGTGTGCGGCGGCGGCGGTTCGAACCGGTTAAAGCCGGTTCATCTGAATCGGATGAGGAGTATGATAAAACGCCGCGGCGCTTAAGGGATTTGTGTTTCCAACGCTTGACGACTTGTTTGAGGCGTACGATTTGGGTAATCATGTTTACTTTCTTGATGGCAGAAGCCATTGTGTGACGAGAGAAAATGAAGAGAGTGAGAAAAAGGAGGAGATGTTTTGGTGTTTGGAGACTTGTTATTATAGAGGGAAAAAAAATTGAAGAGTTGAGGTGGCTAAGGCCTAAGGGTAGTGGGATTGTAGAAAAAGTGTAGTACTAAATTCCATTGAGTTTGTTTCCTTCTTGTAATTGTTTGATTTGACCAAGATAGTCTTCCAAAGCATTTTAGGAGATATATTAATTTTTTGTGCAAGTAATACTATCAAACGGTAAGTTATTTATTTAGGTATAAAATTAATTTCACATAAGTAATACATATGGGAATATATGTATTATTTTAGTATAAAGTACAGAAACTTCAAGGCGTCAGTTGCATCATATTTCAAAAGTTTATTAAATTATAATAATCTTAGATTTTTCATAATTTGTTGATAGATTATACATGAGTTATGTATCAGATATATAGATATAAACCAGATTCATACTAATTTAGGTATGGATAATTGTGGTTATCTATCAATAACAACATTTGTACCAAACACATTGTACAAAAACAAAGTTGTAATGTATCTGATAGAGGTGGAGTGATTTATTCAGATAGGATTTTTTAGAGATTATGTTATCTTAAATCGTGTAATTATGTAATAAGTAAACTCTGCATCATAATTTATAATCCCAACATCAAAATAATACATAAATTTTCTCATAACTAATTTATATATTATTATATTTGTATTACTTTAACCAACTACTAAATGACTCTTAAAGACTTGTTTGGTTGATTATGTTAGAAAATTTGGCACAATGTGCTAACTTATCAATAGAAAGAAAATTGGTATAGAATAGCCAAGTTCTAATTTTTTTGGCATAAAATGATCTTTTTCACACTGATTGACTCAACTAAATTAGCATTACATGACCCAAAAGAAGGGTTGTACATGGTCGGGTTGGTTCGGGTTTTTCAAATATCAAATCAAACTATTTGTGTTGGATTTTTAAATCTATAAACCAAACCAAACCAATAAAACACGGGTTTTTCAACTTCGAATTTTTTGAATTTTTTCGGGTTTTTTCGCTAAAGTATTCATACAAACATATAATTTACTTGTACTTCAAATATTTCTTCAGTCCTACCAAAATACAACACAAACAATGATTTGATTAATGACACTAAAATATCCAAAAATAATAATAA